TCATTATTTAATAATTATGTAAAGTATTTTATCCATATTAACGACAAATGTATGTTATACTTTGTAAGTATTTTGAAAAAGGAAATAATACGCTTTTTCGGAGAAGAAAAACGCATAGTTATTGTGAACAAAAGTGTGAATGACAGAGAAAAGCTAATTTGATGAAAAAATATGTTGTACCTCCCATAGGAAAATGGCAACATTTTAAGCTTTTTAGGCACATCATCATCTGTTTGTATATATGTTCATTCTGAAATGTTTCATTATCAATTTATAAAATTTTTATTACGGTTGGAATAGGTTCAAAGTGAGAGCTGATGAAGTTTTAACAATTATTTCAATTTCTTGTCCATATATGTGGTTGTGGTTTTCTTTTCTTATCCGAGAAAGGAAAAAAAATATTCATACAAATATTTGTATTTGACTATGCAAATGCGTCATTAGAAATAAATATAAAGTGTAAAATGTAAAAAAGCAACACATTATTCAAGATTTCATATCCCAGAAAAGGATCTTTCAATGAAAGACAGGAGAATGAATACGCTAGAAAAGTTGGACTAAACAGTAGTATCTATCATAATTGATCACAGGCACACAATTAAAGAAATCGTTTAATTTAATCTTCATGCTTCGTGTAAAGTTGAAAACATCTTCAGTTCATTATAAAACTAAACAGGCTGTCCAGCAGCAAAGTTATCTCAAAGGTAAGTCGCAACTGTTAATTATACATAGTAGCAATAGTGCAAAAAATAATCTCTCTCTCTCTCTCTCTCTCTCTCTCTCTCTCTCTCTCTCTCTCTCTCTCTCTCTCTCTCTCTCTCTCTGTGTTGTGGGGAAGGCTGTCCATAAGTTGTAGTAGCTTCTTTAATATGCCAAATAACATATGTTTAAACTTAACTTGCCATGTCTTAAATTTTCTAGTGAAGTCTTCGCCTATAGATCTGATTGGGACATACATCCGTACATTCTGGTCTTGGTTGATTACAACTTTGAGGGTGTTTCAACTAATTTTCACTGTATCCAGCGTCAGTACTTTAGAATCCAACTATCTTTGCCCATGTTTAATTGGGATAAAAGAAAAAAAAACTAACGTGAACTGAATATGAATTGAACTTACCTAATGAACACGAACAACGATGATTTTGATGCCATGAGGTGCTTCGGTGCAATATGACCATTGATAATATTCCGTTGGGTTAGAACTGCAAAATGTATCTTTACGTCTCCATAAAATGCGAGTATGAAATAACCTTCAGTCTTATTTATGGTATGCACTTAGCTGTTGTTATTGTCGATTTAATCATAAGTTATGCACCACCAATGGTGCTGCTACTTTACTGTTCATTGTTCTGTTTCAAACACTCTCGAGCATTTGTCTATTTCCTGGATGCATTATATAATATGCGCACGACCACAGCATATAAAGGTCATGACCTACTCAGAAACACGTGCAAAAGAATGTTGTGTACTATGCCCGTCCAATCATTTCACAGCCCACATTTAAAATCTACCAGAAAGTAATCTTTCTATTCATGAAGCAATTAGTCTTCTTAGAGGTGATTACCTTATAATACCATAAACAAGTAAGAGCAATGGCAGCTTGAATAACTCCGTGGAAAAAGGGCAAGTAAAGAACAAAGACAAGGGTATTTTTAAAACCTCGAAAAAAAGTAGGAAAATTATTTTGAGAAAATGGGTTGAAAAACAATATCTTTTAAGCAAGCCTAGCAATAATTTATCACCTGCAGTGCAAAGGTATATTGTATCATATTTTCCTGCCCAACAATAAGAGTCTGGAAAGTAGTCCTGTATTTGATTCCATTTACGATAATTGTTAATAAGAAATAAAAAATATATGACGTCATTGAGAATTGCAAACTTCCTTTCCTTCCCCATTTTTTCTGGTTTACAAGGCCTGGTCACGAGAGTGGTAATTGTCAGTTTTCGTGACGTCCTGGCACTGATGTATGAAAATTGTAAAAGAGCAAGGTATTAATAACAATACATAACTTGACGCTCGGGTTTAGAACCCAAAATACTCTCAAGTGCCCACTTATGATGATGTATGAGGGTTGAGGTTAATTTTTGTGTATACCAGAATGTTAATCATTATTTATATCCAGTTTCACATTAAGTGTATAAGGTGGGCCAAGAGTTTGAAAACACAAAAAGGGGCGCAACTACCAGATTTAAATGCAATTAGCCACTGAACATATAATATAAATGGATATATATATATATATATATATATATATATATATATATATATATATATATATATATATATATATATATATATATATATATATATATATATATATATCTTTTGAAAATTCAAATATTAAACTTTTTGAAACATAAAAATTAAAATGTATATTTAAATAGTGTTATCTTTTTTTAAAAAATATCCTCATAATCAATCTGTATGAAACTCTACAAACATGCCTAATATTCAAAATAAATTAAACAAAATTAACATAATAGAAGACTGTATCAATCATATCGGACAACACATCTAGTACTCACCAGGAATTTAACAAAGGTGAAAAGAGTAAATCTGGACAACCATTCTACAGCTATAAATTACAATCCCAAGAAATATAATACAGGTGAAACATGGGCATGACGCACGCATTTTAATAGATTATAAAGAAATTCAATAATCAAAATTTAACACTTCCAATTTCTTTGCAAGAAACAGTAGCATCTCCTTTTTTCAGCGGACATGCTCGATCGTTTGTCGCTGCAAATAGCACCTGTGGTGGTAAAGTCCTCGGCTGATTTTTCTCAGCTAGATACGAATCCAATTCGCGCTGGCACGTGAAATCAGATGAGCTGGATGCAGAGGCGAGATTTTGGTCCGATGTGCTAGAGGCAAATAACTCCTGGTAGTAGGCATTTCCGATTAATTGAATCGTATCACGAATCGGAAAAAATTTCATCCCCCAAATCCGGAATCGGAAATCGGTAGAAAAATGCTAATCGGTTATACCCTTCTTAAAAGTTACAGTAATGTAAGCAAGACTGTCTCAGTTACCCAAGCTAAATTAAGGTTATTCTACGTTCCGGTAGAGTTTGTGTTAGCACTCCCTAATCTGTATTATGCAAGACTGTACCAAGCATCAGTTAGGTTAAAACACCTGTTATTGGCTATACGTAGAAAATTCAGGAGGTGAGTGTGGATGGTGAAACTATAAATAGCAGGGCTACACATCTACAGTTAACACACAACATCCTACAATTCCTACGAGCTTTAAACAAAATCTCTTCCATATAAAACTCATCTCACAGGGCAGCCAGACGCTTCACCACCACATAGATCTCTACAAACCGACCCATCTCGGCCCAACCCAATAAGTAACCTGTCCTCTCACCAAAACAAACCACTAAGAACCCATCACACCCGACCCAATAACACGTCACATAACCAACCAGCTAAAATCCCATCACCACAACTAACCCCATACCACCTCCAACAGAATCATGACACTCGCCAACCCATCCCTGTCTCCTTCCTAACCGGTTACACCCACCCCAGATTAACCATACAGACCAGCCAACAATAGAGTCCAGATTAGAAGACATGCCGGACCGGAAAAGACTGCAGTGAACGGGAAATACAAGAACAGAAGAACAGCAAGCAAAAGACAAATATTACTTAATTATATTTTTTTTAAATCTTTTACAGGAAAGACTTATATTGTCGATGCTTGCCACTTCGAAAAGATACAATATAACTTTATAGCAATTGCCCGGTAAGTTTCAAATCAAGTGGCAGGCGAGGCAGCACTACCTACTGCCCCACAATCCCCCACAACACAGGACAAGCGAAGAGGCAGAATTGGCGGTACGGCCTACTGCCAAGCAAATTCCCCCGTCAAACCCAAATACAAGAAGCAGTCGGCCTACTGCCAAGCAAATTCCCCTCCCCGTTAAACCCAAATACAAGAAGAAGTCGGCCTACTGCCAAGCAAATTCTCCCGTCAAACCCAAATACAAGGGACAGTCGTCGGCCTACTGCCAAGCAAATTCCCCCGTCAAATCCAAATACAAGGGACAGTCGGCCAAACAAGGCCCACCAGGACAACGATACTCTTTTCGAAGAAAAAGGCCACTTCCCCCTACAATTCAAGGGGCAGTCCAGGCGGCTCTGCCTTTTGCCCCACAAAGCCTCTCCGGACATCGAGGTCCCTTTTGAGGAAAAGGACCCCCTAAAATTCAAGGGACACATCACAAGGCCCTTTTCTAGGAAAAGGGCCCCCATATAATCCAACTCTAGGGTCCCAGTTTAGCACAGGAGGATCCGGGCCGCAAGCCTAATACGAACCATTAAATTCTCGTCTAAAAACACACCAGCCAACAACCAACCTACCGACCTTAAATGGTTAAAGAGGGCCTATCTCTTACCTGATTGGCTAATACTTTAGTTAATATAAGTACGCCCAGTACACAAAATTCCAACTCACACTTTTTCAAAATTCACAACTAAAATTAATGCGCGACCAATTGCATTGGTGGCTAACACATCGTTGGCATAGGGCTGTCTAATAGCACAACAGGACTCATTTTGACCCATAAAAGCTTCTTCCCAGTCCATTCCCGGTTCCCTTTGCTACCTTTTCCTCGCTGCTGGCCGCGGTTTGCGTACGTGTCCTAGAACAATCCACTACTGTCAAAGGTCAAGGTCAAAATACAAAGAAAGGCCAGCAGCAGGTCATTATCCCAGCACTATGGCTAAGTGCAACCTTGGGGAGCAATGTCAGGTTCAGTGGGTAAATCCAGGGCAAATGGTCCATCCCAGGGCTGTAATCAGTCGTAAAAGCACACAGTACGTAACAGACTATAATTCAGTTCTTAATCTTGTTGCCTGATGTGAGTGTTACAAGGTATTCTCAAACTCGGGCAAGCTAGTGGGAGTGGATTTGAATAATGTGGGGTTTTAACAGTACTTTAAACCCATTATTTCCGAGGTATTGACTTTCCCAAAGACGCACCATGGCAGCCGACCAGGGCTGTATTAAACATGGGACACTACGATCAAAACTCCGACGCTCTACCAACTAAGCTATTACGACTCCCTCACGTTTATAATAGATGTAGTCAGTTATCTCTGATGACTTAAAATGGTATTGAATGGATTTAGCTCAAATCAGGAAGAAGGTTTATGAACATTTTCTTTAGTAAGTCTCTAAAATGATGTTTCTCATTTATAAAAGTATTTTTCATTGCAAACGAGAATAGTTCGGGCTTAGAGCAAATGCTACAACCATTATTTAATATACTGCGAAACTATCACGTAACGTACAGCAGTGGAAATTTGATAGCTATCTAATGTTACCATGATATAACCGTAAAACTCCGAGACACAAAAATTTCATCGAGCAAAATGCAATTTCACATTTGGAGCAATACTGATTAAAAATTATATCTCACGATAGAAAATCCCGATCGTTAAAAAAATTGATTAAACCTTATAAATGTGCAGATCATACGTACTGGCAGAAGTATTTACTTTCTCAGTCAAGACAAAATAATGACATCTTAACCTTAGCAATGGAATGCCGTACATTTTCATTTAATTTTAGTAGGAGATACAAATATTTAGATTTGAGCATATTCATTTACCACTTTATAAATGTTTAGAATAAAAATCAGATTTGAATTTTCATCTGTACTTCGGTTCTTTTTAATTAAGTATTTCAACATGGATGCATGACTAATAATTACAGATGAAAAAGAAGAAGAAGAAGAAGAAGAAGAAGAAGAAGAAGAAGAAGAAGAAGAAGAAGAAGAAGAAGAAGAAGAAGAAGAAAAACCAACTTTTGACCGGCTCAAATTGACGCTTGAAAATCAGTTTATACAAAAATATTTCAAGTTAAAGAAAAAAATGCTAAAATTAGAAATCGCGGAAAGAATCTGTCTTTGGATTCCAAGATTCCAGCTTACCTTAAGACCATAACGTGTTATTTTCATTGGCATTTTAAATCATTCTGCTCCGAAATCACAATTCACCAAAGGTGCTAAGGAAGGAATTCGTTCTCTTTGAACAAGTCATCAGGTATCCATTCATGAGAAACGTGTTAAATGAATAAATCAACTCATTCTTTTTAAATTAAAAAATATTTTAGAAGTTTTTATCAACTTGTTGCTTTCTTTCCGTTTATTTTTTTTAAATATCCCTACTCTTTGATTATGAGATGTATATGCATTATAATGTTAGTGAATGTCTGTGTTCTTGTTCTTGTTTGTTTTGCATGGATAATTTAGAAAACTGATGTTTCCTTTTTAATATTAATTTTGTCTGCTTGAATGTTTGTATTGTATTCTCCTCAATATGACTATGCAACAAATTTCTTTTTTTTAAAATGGAATAATATGCGCTTGTACACCTGAAATAACACTATGATAAATAAATAGACACGAATAGAAATCCCACACTATTTGGTGTTATGTGTATACGAGTGCTTTAAATCTTTTGGACCGGAAGCGATGTAATTTGCCTTCATCATCATGTATATTAATAATACTTATTCTTCAGTAATCTGTGCGATAAAAAGCGTAAATAATTTGATCGCTACTCAAAGGTATTACTCTTTTCTATCGACTTATCACCTTTAAATGGGTCAGTATATTTTCATTTCTGTTAAGAATTATTTTCCTTTCAAAGGTTGGTCAGGGTCGGAGAGTCGTCTCATGCCAGCTCAACGTAAAGTAACTCACTAGACATGATTTATCAATGTGTAACATACATAATAAAAATATTTTTTTAAAAAATATAATTTTCTCATAGAGATGTAGTGAATATAAGAGACAACTAAGATCATTCTTTCATGTGCCTATAAAAACTCTTTTACCAAATAATTTTCTATGACAAATGTCTAACATACAAATTGAACATTGATAAGATGCACTGATTTTCGAATTATACTCCGTCCGATTGTTTTTGATACATCATACTGAATTCATATCTAAGTGAAAGAGGTGAAATTCAACAGAGAAATTCTGGTGCTGCGTTGCATGTACTTATCATTATAATCCCATTAAACTCTACTTATGTCGATACTTTGTTTTCCTTCTTCAACTAACAGCGAAGCAAACAATTTTCTGCAAGAAATAGAGAGGAAAGAGAGCGGAATGTGCGACACTCGGCGTAAAATCTGTCATATTTTCTGAGACAATTTCTAAACAGTATATCTCCATAGCTGCATTTCTTCCTAATTGGGATTATGCCACATCGAACACGTGATGGTGGCTGACGTCTAGTGTCCCATTTACCATTACTCCCACATTCTCGTAATTCGGACACGTAGCACCTAGGTTACTCTTTGAAAACAAAGGAAGCGATCTTCAACCTACACAGGATACTGCCATTTACCATATCCCTTCAACGGACAGCACAATGTTTAGAATCATACAAGTAAATTATGCTGATGCTAACGTAATTTCGGAAACACAGCTTCTTGTTACAACCAGCATTCGACATAAGGATTCAACTGCACATTCAAAAGAAATCCTCCTATCGACCACTAGGTTGAAGACGTAAAATGGGAATAATGGTAGCATTGAATGCCTTTATGCAATGCAAAACTTTCGTATTCATGCTGCTATTGAGAGTTATAGGTATATCAACACAACACTAGTTAAATACTTCCGATTAAATGTTAAGTTCCCAAAATTCAAATATTATGAACTGCAAAAAAGACATAAACGACTAGTAAGATATTTTTTCCAAATAAACGTAAACTTGAAGCACTGCGAAATTACAGATACATGCTAAACATGTTTACATTTTGTAATAGGTATACGCAATAAAAGATAAAGACAAATGATATAAAGTCTTATAATTACAGGGTCCAAAATTATTATATCAACCACATTCTCTAAAAAAAATTTCAAGATTTTTTTTCTTTGCTACATTATTATAAAGTTTATTAATTGAATTCAAAATTTTTATTTAAAAAAAAATATGTAAGACAGAGTGGAAACTGATACACTCGGCATGAATGTGTTTTAATGACAGTCGATATCGCCAGGGTACGCATTCTGGCCGATGTTTACTATCAGACGGTTTACCTGAGTAAGGTATGTGTGCCCCATGCGCTGTTTTTCTCAATATTTCACCAGTGTATTATAAAAACGGACTCATCACTCCAATGATGGTCTTCATGTTCTGACGCTTCTTGGTGGAGTTTTATTTCTACATCTTTTGCGTAACTTGTCAATTTATATGATTTTGAAGTCGGTATTTTCTTAAAAGAGGTCTTGTTTGCTCACATATTTGTAAAAAGAAAAACGACAACTCTATTTACACAGATGCTTCCAGTTGTTTGTACAGGAGGCAAATATTGGACCGCAGAGTGTTGAAGGTGTGGGTGGTCTCTTGAAACCTTAAATCATGTCAGGAACATATATATCTTATTCCTCTTGATATGAAACACGTGTGATGTGATGTGATGTGATTATGATTTTTAACGTCGCTTTTTAAAAAAAATCAGTCATATCGCTACGGTATATGCAATGCGGCAGTTTATAGTGATGTCTAGCACTGGAGCATCATTCCTCGGACATATAGCATGATGTCCCACCCAGTCACATTATCCTCACACCAAACCGACCAGTCCTAACACTAACCTCTTAATGCTGAGCGTCAAGCGAGGCAGCTGTTAGTACCATTTTTGTAAGTCTTTGGTATGACTCGACTAAGGATCGGAATTATGATCTCCCGCATCTGAGGTGGACGCTCTAACCACTGGGTCACCGGAGCGATTCTAAAACAAACAAGTGTAACAGTCACTGTACAAAGTGGAAGCAAAATAAGGCCGTTTGAAGATGTCTGCTTGGTTGCATTTATGCTATTTATACTATCTTCTTATGTTCCCAACTTTTTACGCAGAACTTAATACCAATATATTTAAATACGGCACTGAAATATGGACGAATGTTAGATCCATACATGATTGCTTCTGATAGTAATCATTTAGGCGATGGCCTTGGCACAAGGTGGAACCTAAAATAAAAGCCCCAAACGCCAATTAAAAACGTAACTAACAATGCAGAATGACACGACACGATACATGACATGGCATGACTCTATATATGGTAGATCGAGAGCCTTAAGGGAAATAGGAAAAAAGGTTATGTTTTTATGAATGTGGCGAACATCCGCAGGGGCTCGTTACGCCATATATAGCATATAATGCCATGAAAAAAGACGTAAAACCCTAAGAATAGAACAAGTAAAACTAAGGGTATAATTCAGCTGGTAATGTGTGTGTTGTAGGGGCGAGTTGTATACCTGTAACATGGAGACAACATTATATACAAGCGTGGTTTTTATATTAACTTAGAGACATTAAATTGCCCACTGTTCACGGAAGAATTTGGACGTAACCTTTCTCTCAGATGGCAGAACATCATCCAACCACAACATATTTAAGTGGTAAATATGTGATATTGGGCTCAAAATGAAATTTGTTTATGTCTTCCGTAGTCAACTGTTCTACATCAATTACAGTAAATATGGGAATTTCTGCATCCAATAATCCTCCTCTCACATGAATATTTTAACAATGTAATGTTTAGTTGTGAAAGTGACACTTTCGGGCAAACATAGCTTGTCTACTGCATTCTAACTGCTACAGTTTCAAACAATGTGACATCATACAAATATTATCTAATTTTAAACGTCAATGCTTGTTCAACTTCATTTCGGGCCATTTTTTACACAAAACAAATCAAAGGTGCACCATTTTAGTTAGAACGAAATTACTTATTCTTCTTTCGATCTTAATAACTTCTACTGAAACAAAAACTATGTGATAAAAAGAATCTGAAAAGGATAATGATTTAGTATTAAATTTGTGAAACTCGCTGTATAATGACAGCTTTTGATCGCAAGTTTCACAAAACCTAGACATTCTTTATCTTGTTTCATAAATTCAGCATTAAAGCATCACCCATTTTAAAATACTAAGGATATATGATATGATATGAGATATGATATGATATGATATGATATGATATGATATGATATGATATGATATGATATGATATGATATGATATGATATGATATGA